AAGAATTCCGCCACTGAATCATCACTGTCCCTTGGTCTGGAAATCCAGCCCACGACGAACAAGACACATTTAGTCCTTGCCCTTAATTTTATAGTCCTGTTGGCAATTCCAAATGGTTTGGTGTATATGGTGGAATAGAACAGCATTAAGGTGCAGAGGAGAGGCATCTCACCTAGATGTATTGGGATAGAGAAGGTTTCTTGGGCCAATGAGATGTAAACTGAGATTTGACTACAATAGATAGAAGTTAGCCAGTTGAACGATGAAGGAGACGGGGCTAGTTCTTTCAAGGATTACATCAGACCACATGTTTAAAGCATGGGCCTGAAATATAAGCTCTTATAAGCGGTAGTTTTTAATATTTTTATTTTTGATTTCTACTATAAAACACCCACACCATGCAATGATTCTGTAAATATGGCCAATAGAATTTAATATTAATGTTTAATTATCTTTATTATGTAAAAGGTTTCTAAATACTGAGGTTAGTCTTTACAATTCATTTGGTTGGCAGAAGAAAAGTGCAGAGCATGTTGTAGGTTGTAATCTATTGATATTAGGAGATGTAAAATAGAATCCAAGTATTCTGACAGACAGGAACTATAGAGGTCACCTGATCCAGTCCTTTTGCTTAATATGGAGGAGAACTAGGTAGCTATTTGCTCAAAGTAACATTATAATTGGTTAGTGACTGAGATCCGACTAAAAGAGTAGGTGTTTTATTAGTTCAATACTCATTTCCTTTTTACCACACTGCCGCTTATAGCAGAATTTTTTTCAAAGCTTTCAACTTTGATGTAAAATTATTTGTATTAATAGTTGTGCCTTGATGTTAATTTCAATTACCTTTGAAGTTTTCCTGAGCTTCATTTCCCCCCTAGTGTTCTATTCCTTCTAAAAATGTATGTGTTTTTAATTCCATTTAAGCCACTTTACATTAGGAGTACTTATAGTGCTACTAATCATTTTCATTTTACTTTGTAAACTTCTAATTTTTCATTTGCAATGGAGGACCATAAAACTGCCATTTGCTGTCTCTTAAGCCAAAGTTTCATTCAAAGACTATACCTATGGAAGAGACATTAAAAAAAGGACTAACTAAAGACCCACACAGACATCCTGTCGTTAGTCATTTAAGTGATTCTCTCTGTAGAGTGTGTTCTTGACTGCCACTGTGGTAATGTTCTTTCAGGGTTATTATTGATACACAGCTATGATCACATGCTCTGGTTCAAATGATACAATTAGCAAGTCTTTTTAAATTGCTGACATTTTCTTCCGGAGTGTTCCTCCTTTCACTCACTGTTCACACATAAGTCTTCAATGCTTTAGCCTATGGTGCTAATATTGATTTCTTTGCCCACCTGCCAGTTTTCTCATTCTTGAGCATCTTGAAAATGCCATAGTCAGTTGTCATTCTCGCCACAAGGGTGCCATCCAAATCCCATGGCTCCCTCAGTGGGGATCCATCGGATAAAGCTCTTTTCAATGGCACCCTTTTCTTGCCAAAGTCTTCACCCTGCCCACTGTGCATTCTGAAAACATCCATTTCTGCCATAGTGCTTAGATACTGACTACTGCGGAGCCTGCTTCTCATTGTCAAGGTCTCACAACTTGAGCAGCTTTCAATATAATGTAGCCTCAATGGCTTTCTCTCCTTCACTCTTCTACTTCCTTTTGGCTTGTTTGTAATTACAAATGATGCTGTCAATGATTGATTTCACATAAGTCCCTAGAGGTCCTTGACCATCCTCATGATTCCAGTGTGAACTTCCAAATGCTACTGAGGTCTCTGAGGGCTGATGCAGCCTTGCTTGTTGGGTTTGTCTTGTTGCTAATATTTAAAAATATTTCTTTCTCTTTTTTCACATTTACTATCTCTTATATTTTGGTTATTGAACTAGCAACCATTTCTTGATTCTATTTCTATTTTTAAAATCCATATTATTCTATCTTTTCTGAAGAATGGGAGAAACAGCACATTTTGCTCACAATATGACAAGGAAGAAATTGTGAGATAACTGGTGGGTAAGATGGAGATTGGTTATCTTCTTGATCTGCTTGTGTTAGAAACCAGAAACAGAAAGCCTCTGTAAGCTTATGCACTCAGTTCTTCAGACCATAGACATCATGTAGGCAAAGATAACGCTACCTTAGTCTTGAACAAAAGGCGAGAAGAGTATTTCCAAAAGCAAGCTCTTATCACTTCATATCACAAAATACAAGTTCGTTATCATTTATAGCCAGACTCTCAATATGTGGAGAGGCTCAGTGCATTCTTCCCTTACCCTCCTACTAATTTCAATGCATCTGATTTTTTACAGCTGTCTCAGAAACTTGAGATTGTAGTACTCTATTAAGCAAACCTCTATGGGTATTTATTTTATTTTATGACTTATTTTAGCTTAAAATTTTTCGAATGTGGAAAAATTGGAAACCTAGAAAAGTGTCCTCACTCAACTTCAGACCTCAGGTATTATTTATTCTATTGGTATTTTAGCATGAAACTCCAGAAAGCTACTGACTGCCACTGAGTCTCTGCCGACTCACAGTGAACATGTATAGGACAGGGTAGAACTGCCCCTGTCTATTCTGAGACTGTAACTCTTTCAGTGAGCAGAAAAAGCCCTGTCTTCCCTCTCTGAGCAGCTGGTGATTTCCAATGGCGGATCTTATAGACAGCAGTCCAACGTGTAATGCCACCAGGAGTCCACGTATTTCAGTATAGATGTTTAAATTAAAAAAAGATTCTTTCAATATGGCATAACCACATTATTATCATATCTGCAAAAATCAATAATAATTCCTGAGTAGAATCAACTAGCCAATAAGTATTGAAATATGTCCAATTAGCTCATAATTTCCCCGAGTTTATTTAAATAGGATTCAAATATGAGCCACATATTAAAAATGGTTGATATGCATATTAAATCTACTAACCTATAGTCCTTATTTCCTCATTTTTTCTTGTATTTGTTAAGGTCCTTCAATATTTCCCAAATATTGAATTTTGCTGACTGTATAGATCAAGATACTTGCTGGATTCACTTTTATTTTCTGCTTAGGATAATTCACGGGTGGGTTGCAGACTTCAGTCAGTGGCCATAATGTCTACTTGTTTCTCTGATGTTTCGATTAACCAGTGCGAATCTAAATACAGTGTGCATTTAAAACCAATCTAAAATACAGTGTGTTCAAGGTCCTGCAGTTGGCTTCATCCATTATGAAGTTTCTTATCAGCTGTTTTTGATAGCCATGGATGATCATGAATTAGAGTCCGTGATGGAATTAGGTGTTGCCAAATGGCATGTTTTAGCACTAGCATTTCTCCCTCATGGGGCAGGCAAATATGGCGGTCAGAATAAGCAGGAGTTGAGAGAAACCTAAGCATGCACGAAAATTAAGAATAGTAATTTTCTTGCTTATTTTGATAAACAGTGCAAAGGCATTATTTTTAGAAAACGAAAACTTTGAATAAGGTCATTGCAAAATGAGCTTCGATTGATCCTATTTATAGGAAATAACTTTATTTGTTATTTCATGCATTTTTATACTTCACCATTAATGAGCCATGCTTATGTAAAACACTCATGTAAAATACAGATCATTAAATTGAGAATGCTAGTTTCATCCTTTTCTGAAAACACTTGTGCACACTTCTGTACCCTCTTCTCTGATGCTGCTTCTGCCATATGTATACCTGAACCAGGTAAGTGGTTTGTTGTTGTTAGTTTTATTAGTTTCCTGCTTATAATGATAATAGATGTTTGTTGCAAATGAATGAGTGAGTGAATGAATGATCAATAGATTCCTGGAGTTGCTGTTGGCTCAGTGTTGGACTCGTAAATAACCAAAAGGAATGTGGTTCAAATCTATCAGCCATTCTGTAGGAAAATGATAAATAATGTTATCTTGTTTCTTGAAAGATTTACAGACTTGGACTTCTATACAGGATCTCCAGGAATTCGAATTAACTTTATGGCAATGGGTTTGGTTTGGCTTAGTTTTAAAAATGTTCCTCAGTAGAAAAAAATATAAGGAATTATTATTTTTTTAATGTATGAAATAATATTACTCAGAGACAATTATTGGTATTTTCATAAATCTCCTTACAAATCTTTTTTATATGCACAGGTACATTAGCTGGTGTTTTGTATTAGTGATATCACTTTATGAATAAGGTTTGGGACCCGCTTCTTTTTAAATCTTGTCGTATGTTCTACACATTTTTCATGTTGTATATACAGGTATACACCAGCCTTTTAGAACAGCGGGCACTCTATGAAGGTGTCACAATTAAATTAAACGCTATTCTATTGCTAACTATTTAGACTCTCCAGTTTTTCTGTTTAAGCAACACTGCTTTGGGGACATTTGTACATACTTGTCTAGTCAATTGGCTTCCTTAGATGATTTCTTAGAATTGGGTCTAAGGGTATGCCTATTTTATATTGTGATACATATTGCCAGATGCCCTTCAGAAATGCTGTACCAATTATATTTCTACCAATAGCACATTCTAGTGGAATTTTCTTTTAAATATCTTAACATTTTATTTCATTTTTTTTAGTTTATTGCCTTGCTTATAAAATAAAGGGGCTGGAATATGTCAATCATTTAAAAGCTTTTTTTACGGTCTTTGAACCATTTGAGATTTTTCGAATGTAGGCTACCTACTTTTGAGAAAGATGTGTATGTACAAACACAGAAAATTTCAGATACTGTTCATGGGAATTCAAAGATTCCTGGATATCATCTGTAGACTCTTTAGGATTTCATTCCATGCACCTTAGTGAAGAATCTTTGCATGAGGAATTTTAAAGTTGCTTTCTTAATTTAACTAGTACATATCTCACATATGTGTACACACAATTTTAATGTATATTTGGGCCAAATTTAATGCAATACATATGCTTGATATAGAGCCTAGTCTCATTATGACCCAGGAAGACTGCTGAAAGGATACCGCTATTGAAAACAAGGTTTTCTCTTGACTTCAGGTTCTTCAATGGCGAGCCCACCAGGAAGAGATAGCTAGACTGGAAATGGATATTTCTGCCCGAAGAAGAGAGAATGCAAAAGAGAATGAGAAGCTATGGAAGAAGAAGGAATTATTACAACGAGAGGAGAAGAAAGAAAAAGTATAGTATAAAATTTGCTATTGATAGGAATGCATGAATGACCACTTAATTGCCTGATAAGTTTTATTTGGTCTTGGTGTTTGGCACACATTCTCACAGTCACAGAAAAATTCACAGGTGTAGTGGACTCTTGCTTCACTTTATTTGAGCTCCAAAGATTGTGAGAAGTAAAGGCGATGTAAGCAGAAGGGGTAGATCTTGTGATTGCTGCTAAGGCTCATATTTAGTTTGAACAAGGCAGACCCAAAGATATCCTTCTGGCAGTATATGGTGGTCCTGGGAAAGTGCCAGGAGCCCTGATGGTGCACGGGTTATGAGCGGGTTGGGCTGCGGTCCCCAGGGTCGGCAGTGTGAAACCATCAGCAATGCCATGGGAGAAAGACTGGGCTTTCCATTCCCAGAAGCAGTCTGCCTCAGAAACCCACAGGAGGCCCCGGAGTCAGCATTGCTGGATGGCAGTGGGTTTGCTTTTGGCTTGGGGGAAAGTGCACTACATGGCATACCGAAGACCCTTTAGAACATTTGCTTGATTTAATGTTTGTTAGACTATCTTGTTTTTCATATTTGCAGAGATCAACTCATCATTCCCTTTTTGAGCATTCAGTTCATTCTCAATCACCAAACTAGTCATGAAAACACTTTTCATTAACAACTTTTAAAATGATTTTGATAATCTACTGAAGGTACAACACATTTTAGGAGAGATTAATATGTAGTAAATTAAGGCATCTCCCATTGCTAGACATTTAAACTCCAATTTTTTGTTGTTTTAAGCATATTTATTATTTATGATGTCTGGTTTGTATCATATGGTATGTGGTATATATATTATTTATAACGTAAGATATTTGCTTAGACATTTTTCTACCCACAACAAACTTTCTAGAACTTGCTATAAAGTATTTTTGTTAAACATTTTGTAAAATATTTATGATCTATTGTTTTTAAAGAATTGCTGTCTTTGGAAATAATTCTCAAAAAGTCAATTTATGATTAACTTCATAACACAAAGAAAATTTTACATGAATACATATACTTGTGCTTAATCAGTGTGACGTAAAAAGTATTATATTTTAAAAGGTTGTCTAACATTTTAATGACAACAAAGTAATTCATAGCCATTTGCCAACAAATGCTTTGTTTTTGTTTTGTGATATTAACACTTTGGGTCTGACCTACCAGACTTATGTAACTCTTATCTAAAGGATTTTCTTCCAACCTGAAAATGTAAGGGGAAGGCTACCATAGACTTTTTAGCTCTAACCCACATTTCTGCATTTTATTTTACCTCATTTGTCATGGTTCTTGATTTATTTTATGCTTTTAAATCAGCAAATTGGTGTAGAAGCAGCATGTGTGGAAAACAACATACCTACAAGATAGATGATCATTTGAGAAAGTCAGGTGTTAAAAGAATATAATTCATAGATTTTATATTTTCTAATTCAAGGGATTCTATTTCCACATCTAAGAAAATAAGTTGAGTCATTTCATTAAGACTCCAAGAGACTGGATGGCTTAAAGGGATAAATGCACATACCTCAGAAACATCAGTCATATTCAAAATGATAGAAGTGAACTGTTTCTGGGGGGATTCACTTGTTTACTGTTATGAAAGTACAGTGTCAGAAAAGCATATTCATATAATTTCATCATATACTTGAGGCCCTGTATGGCAATTCCTCAGTGAATTGGTGGGATCTTGAAAAACATTTTATTGTTAAGCATTATTTGCATGTGGTATCCTTAAATTCCACATAAAGAGATATAGATATCTTACCACTTTCTGAACTTTTACTAAGAAAATGATATATATATATAAGTATATATATGCATTGGTCTGTATATGCATATATCCATATAGCTATTAATTCAAGTACAGTCCTGTACTGCACAGGGTCTTGTAAAATGTCTGACCACATATGCATCGGTAGCCCTAAACTCTGTAAAGTCTATTATATTAAAAGCCCATACTTACAATTACTCATTTTATAATAAAAAATGCCGCTGCTTTGCAACACACATCAAAATATTATTACTAACCTTGCAGAGGGGTAGTGGGGAGATGAGTCACTTAGGGTTCAGTATAACAATAATGAAACCCACAACCTTCCTCTAGTTCTTAAACGCTTCCTCCCCCCAACTACCAGGACCCCAATTCTGCCTTGCAGACCT